CACACACACACACACACACACACACACACACACACACACACACACACACACACACACACACACACACACACACACACTATCAATATTTCAGCATCTAATTACCCCAGCAGGGGGCTGGGACAAAGGTTGTGTGCAGTCATGCCGTGTATGTCTGCACGTATCAGATTTTATACCTGTACATTAATACACAGTAGCCAAAAAAAACCTCACAGTGTAAGTGAAACATCCTCCAACGGTGAGGCAACGTTTAGACGGACAGAAACAAAATGATAAGGGAAGAAAGAAAAGCAGTGATAGGAGTGACTGTAAAAAAGAAGAAAAGGATGTAAATGGAGAAAAAACTTGGAGTAAATAAAGGGAAATGTGAAAGAAGAACGAAGGATGAAAAGCAGGAAAAAGAGTCAAACAGTGAGAGAGCAAATATTCACAGATAATTAAAAATAGGAGGACAGGTTAGGCTGTAGGAGAGGGTGAATAAAGAAACACCTCTCTCTAAACTAGCTGCAAAAGTATGCAAGCTTCACAAGAGAGGCTACCTCCATGTTTAAATGATTTATCACAGCTTGTGTCCTTCTAGCAGGGCCTTCGAGAGAGGACATTTGAAACAACTACAAACGTGTTTTGAGCTGCAAACACGATGTGAGCATATCAGTATTTTATATCATATCAGTTCTGAAAGTAAATTCTGGTTTACAGCCTTTTTATCAATACTTCCTGCCAGTGCAGGGGTTAGTTTCCACCTCACTTCCAGTAGTTACTTTATCTAGTGAATGTTTAGTGGCTGTTTTTGCTGTTAAAGAATGAGGAATGTTACAGGATAAAGCACATGCCCGCCCCTCCCTGACCCTGATTCTGCTGAAGGTTTCTTCCTGTTAAAAGGGAGTTTTTCCTTCCCACTGTCACCGAGTGCTTGCTTGCACCGAGTGACTGTTTTTCTCTCTGTTACTGTAGGTTCTTTACCTGACAATATAAAATGCTTTGAGGTGACTGCTGTTGTGTTTTGGTGCTATATAAATAACTCTGAATTGAACTGAATTTGACTTCATGCAGCTTTAATTCTTTTAAATACCAAAGAATTGCACTAAGAACTGAAACCACTAAACCCTGACTCGTCTCTCTCCTCATGACAGTGTGGAAGCTGGATTTTTGGTTTTAGAAGACTTTGACACCGCTGTGCTTTAGAGAGCGGTGCTATTGTCACCTAAACCTTATCAGCCTGAATAACCAGAGCGTGCTAACAGTCTGTGGACCTAAATCTAATTCCTGCTTGCCCTTCATGACCTACTGATAGGCCTGAGGGAGGTACTGCATACCCCCCACTGAGTCAGGCACACTGGCTAAATTAAAACCCTTTAATTGGACAGCTGTGAACTAATATGGTCCAAAAGGCAATCGGTTTTGGGTTGCTTTCCAGGACAGACCCACTTGAGAGAGACTGGACATTTTAGTTACTGTGACAAAAAACAAACAAACAAACAAACAAACAAAAAGCTTCCATTTACATAATTTAAATGAAAGATAATAATTTAAATGAAAAACTGTAGACCACATGATCAATGCGAAGTCTCCATCCTGCATAGTTTCTGTGTTTATTAAATTAAATATATGAAAATTTAAGCATTTGTAATGCATCCCACGCAAACATGCCTTTTGCATCACATTTGGTTTAACACATTTAGCTGCTGTGTATGCATAAAAAAACAACAAAATTCATGTGACTCATGTAATTTAGGACAACCTCGATGGGTGTTTGCCGGAGCTCTGCAGGCCTCATTTCTCCTCAAGAATAGCGTTTACAAAAGTGGGTACCAGCATGACGCAGCCAGAACCACAGAAACTCTCAAGATGCATTTTGTATAATGCGGAAAAAAACTAATCAAGTCGAGAGCATTTATAGAGCACCTTTTAAAGCAACAAATGCTGAGCGATGCCGACGGTCTAAACACATAAATGCATCTATAACACATAATAAATCAACCACTGCCAGCTAATCAAGATCAAATTTAAAACAAAGTCAAACTTGCATTTTTAAAGTATTACAAGTAGTGGCCTGTTCCTAAGCTTAAGGGTGGCAACTGAAAAACCAAAATCCTCCTTTATTTTAAATCTGGATGCAGGAACCAGGAGCATCTGGTCAGATCTAAGCAAACTGGTTGGGACACGAAAGTAAACAAGTCCCACCAAGTTATGAAGGAGCCAATTATTAAGAATATATTCCCTATATTTTCAGTAACAATGTGCTGCCATTTAGTGCTTTACAGTCTTTCAGATGCTTCCTAAGCATTATAATGTTACACAACTGAAATAGTAAACCAGAGGAGCGAGCTTCAGCTCAACTTTATGTACTCATTAAGCAACTTCCTTTATTCCCCCTGATGAGATAGTGTCACCAAAGAACCCATTTTACTAAGACACCCCCCCCCCCATAATTTACTTATGGATTAATAAAGTATTCTGATTCTGATGATTCTGATGAAACCAGAATAAATACCAAATATACACTGAACTCTACTTTAAATATTTCAATTGTTTCTGCATGCCTGCAGACTGTACTA